AAATGCATTAGGCCTATATTCAAATTCCAAACACATGAGGAGAGTCTCGGCATGAAAGACCCATGACTGGCAGATGAAAGTGCGACAACATTTCTCTCCGAAATGGTAAGTTATATTAGATTGAATGGAGGATATTAACTGTGACGAGATGATTGACAGGGCAGTTTACGGTGACAGGATGCACGCGACAGATCTGTCCGACCGTTAAAGATGACGAAGTAGTATGTCCCAAAGCTTGCCTACTCTTTTGCTACACACTCAAAAGTATGTACTTTTTCTTCACAAAAAGAGTACATACTGTTAGGGCGTAGTATAAGTAGGCGAATTGGGACGCAGCATAAGAGTTGGATTAGACAGATGGACATAGCTTGAGAAATTACAGTCAGAAATCATCAATAGAAGTCTATAGGATGTTTGATTTTCCACTACAAGAAAACTGTAAGTCTGATCTGCTAGAAAAGATCAAATAACCCGAGTGAGAACAGAATGAAGCTCTGTGCTGAGTTTGGTGGATATAGCTTAAAAGTTAAAAGGAGTTTGTCAAGCCGATGTAAAAACTCTACACTAATCCAATGCATTTATTTCATTGGTTTCTGGAGGCATATTTTTTAGCTAGGGCATACATTTTTGCTCAAAGTGCTACTGCACAATTTTTGGGCCATGGCTCTAACAGGAAGTAATGTTTGTGTTTTGTGTTTCTGTTTTTACTCACTAATATTGCTTATTATCAAAAGAAACTACACTAATGGCAAGAATAGTCTCTCTTTAACCTGAGGTTAATTGGCTTGCTCAAGGTAACAATGGTGACAGAGTTTTCTTCGGTTCACAGATCTGACATTCTGCATGCATTTTATCGCTTGAATTCTCATTATGGTAGCCTACCAACACCTCTGCTACCACTGTAATTTCCTTTATCTATAACAACACCATATAATCCATCTAGACTCACCAAAACCACATTATGTAGCTTTAATCTCCTTTTTGCTCAGTCTTCTTTATAAGCACGATGTAAATCTTTTGTGGTTTTCTTTTACACTGTAAACCATAATAAGTTGAATATAAGGTACAACAGAGGTGAAATTCCATCTTGAGGAAAATGTAATTTATATGTTAATGGAAATGTACAGTAGGCCTATATGATAATTGGGGGGGGGGGGGGGGTGGGGGGGGGAACCATTTTTTCATTTACGTTTTGTAAAAATAAAAGTGTAATTATAAAGACAATTTATACACAAGGGCTAACAAGGCTAACAAGGCACACCTGGAAAAATCAGGGAACTAATCAACATAAAAACTACAAAAGAACTACAAAGATGATAGAAAGAACAGTAAACAGTAAGTATAACAAAAGTGCAGGGACAATCACGGAGAACATAATTGACCATACTGAAGACGGGAGTAATGGCTGATGAAAATTCAGCTTTTCCATTACAGGAATGTTATAAATGCTACCTTTGTGAACATAACAGTCATCACACAATACTATTGTATGACTTCAGAGAACTTGAAATTTAGTGAACAAGTATCATTTTCCATATCATTTTGACTTTGCACATGCTGATCTCACAGAACAGGAGAATTTAGCAGTTATGGTTGTTATGTTGCTATTTAGTATTTAAGGGAAAAACTGTCAGGATTGATCATATTCGACCGGAATATACTTTGCATTTTCAAACCACAGTATACACTACTTCTGTACAATACGTAGTTAGAACTAATCATGAAAATGTAAGTAAATATAACCACTAGTGCAGCACATTATAGGGTTCACAGTGATTAACTCAGGCATTAACATATCAAGCTCAACAGTAACAGGAATTTACATATAAATGTGTCAGTTTAGTGCTGAAAAGGCTTCACACTTTAGGGCATTATGTACTTTCTTGATATTTTCACATGTTTATATTGTTTTTACCTTGAAGTGCACAGTTTGCATGAAAAGTCTCCTTGAAGCTATAGTGCCCTGTGAAACTCAGAATTGTGTTCAGCAACGGTTTTGTTTGCAGGCCAAATCTTTTAATATATAGTCTACTAACACTGCTACTTCCTTACACTCTTCCATTTGCCTTATTTGTCAGTTTATTTTGATGTGTGTTTGTTTGTGTGTGATTGTGTGTGATGAGACAGAGACAGAAAGTGATTAATTGGTGCAGAAGCCACAATGTATCTGCTTATTTGCCAAATTATAATAACAATGTTCTGTTTTTAGGAGTCTATTTACTGTACATGTTTCCGGTTGTCTTAGAAAGATGCTGAAGGTGTTATACAGCTCCCATCTTATGTAACATCAAAATATGACACTGGCGTGTGAGACTATGACAGAGATTACTGGGTTGTGACATTTGTGCATTAGTCATACATTTCAGCTCAAAACATTGCTGAGAATGTGATGCTGATGATTGGATGGATAACTAGATAACCCATATAACATTAGACATATTTCTCACGCCAAAATTTGATTCATGAACAAAATGAAAATTAATGTGTATATAATTCTATCTAAAATACGGTATATGCTTCTGCTATTCCATTATACTGCTTTTTCACCTGCAAACAAGAACTGACTGCAATGTTCTTCTTGTTCCTTGGGAGAGAGTGCAAGTGATGTCACAGGGGCTGACAGTGCATGTGATGTACCAGAGGACAGAGAGTGCATGTAACATCACAGAGTGTGTGTGAGACAGACTGCAGATCCACAGCCATGTCTAAGCATCCAGACATGCTATTAGTGGAGGCAGTGCAAATTGATTCACTGACTCATTACTGCACAGAGGAATCTCCTCAAGACTTTAAATTACATTTCGAGAAATGCCTCTGGCCACTTGTAGGTTTTGGTCAATATAGTGCCTAACAAAGGAAACACTGAATAGCACCTTTTACATATTGCTGGAGTAGTATGCACAAGATGTAGGATATTTTTTTTATGCATGGAATATCTTGATGGCTTGCCAAAAATGAGCAGTATAACTAACTGCATCCCGCAATGCACTCTTCCATTTCTAGTGTAATGAATGAACACACTGCAAAATGGACTTGATCTTCCATTTCCAGTGTGATAAATAAACTAGAAGTAATATTGTTATTCTTAGACGATTTATGTGACTACTGAATATTTGGACAAAAGATAAAAAATGCAAACACCTATTATTATTTCCAAGATGTTAACTGGAGGCCGCTTGCTGAATTAAACATGCAACAAAATCAGTCATGTGACAAGCGTACTGAACTATATGTGAACACTATACTGCTGTTTGAAGTCTATTGACGACTATGGCATACTGTTTTATTTGTTATAGTGTGCAGTATTCAGTCAGTGAGCAGCAAGCTCTATTTAAAATCGCAAGGAAGTTGCAATCGCTTTTTCTTCCCTATTGTGACGGGGTAATCCACCAGCCGGAAACTGAAGTCTCCCCGGGGGCCGCCATTGGCTAGCAAGCCTACACCTGCTGTTAGCATTCCATTGACTCCCATTCATTTTGGCGTCACTTTGACAACGAATAACTTTACATCTGAGGCGTTTAAAGACTCCATTTGTCCATTGTTTATTTCTAAAGAAACACGACAATGTATAAAAGGCTCCATTACTTTGTATCTTACGTTATGGCCCCTTAGAAGCAGTTTTTGTAAAAATAGGCTAAGGCCGTGTGTCCAGCAAAGCGTTTTTAGCCAGCTGAAAACGCTAGACGCTCTGCTGAAGACGCCTGGCTGTGGGCGCTTGAGAGCGTTTTGGCAGTGGAGCGTTTTTTCTGTTGAGACGTTTCGTTGCTATGATACAGAATATCTGCAGCACAGTTTACTTGTAACTGATTTCGCAGATAATTAGTTTCATACTAAAAATTTATTTTTCATCCATTTTGTTCGGTTAGCCCTGCTGGTTGATGTCGTTGTACAGAAAGAATGTTGTGACAGTTGGTCGGTGTGGTATTAGTCCCGCAACTCTCGCGCCTAACGATCGCGTCATAACAATTAGAGAAATTACCGTATAGACAGGAAGAGAAGCTCGCGGGCAATCTGGGGGACGTGGAGGCATAGCGTCCGATAAAGTCAAGGGAGAAGCCCATAGAGAGTCATAAAGTTGATCCTGCTGCTAGCTCATGGACAGCTAATATACTCACGCTCTCCGGCTCTGCAAGATTCGGAAGGGAATGATTCAGATTCCTCTTGGCACAGCTACTAGAAGACGTACAGGTTGCTCACGTCACATCTACGTGGTCAAGCTCAGTTTGAGCCTGCGCAGTGCGCTCGGCCATCATGAAGTGAGTGCTTATAATTGACTTCACTTTTCTCCGTTGAAGTCTATGGGGTCGATGTGTCCATTTCTTTTACTGTCTATGCGTATAGCCTATCCCTGTGAAACTCTCTAACTAGAAAAAAGATAGGGCGGGATTTGATTTTGAACATCGGGAATTGATTGGACTATTTTATTTTTGTGGTTTGCTATTGCTGTGATCTCATGTGATGGACAGGTTGCCCCGCCCTCAAGCCAGTAAACACGTCATCAGAGAAAAAAAGTACCTTACGAAGGTACATGAATTTAAAAAAACGGTGTACATGGATACATCGTTTTAAATAGCCTGCAATGTTTCATAAAAAAAACAAGAGTTGTCAATTTTGATTTCATGGTGCATGGCTTTAACCAAGCAACTGCAAGATAAAAAATAGTTTCAGTTCCTTCTGAGAATTGAAACCGTGACATTGGCGTTTCTAATACCATGCTGATCAATCTACAGGAAAACTAATGGAGTTAATGCAGCAGGTGGAAAAATCAGCTCTTTTAACTTTAGAGGTCGTTTTATTGGCACTTTACGGTCTCGACATAGCAGCTTCTCGATTATCCTAATCTGCCAGCAGAGGTTTATGTGAGGTTTTTTAATCTGCCAAGATAATAAAAGACTTAGCCTAAAATGGATAAAGCCACAGACACACATTTGATCCAATATGTCTGGGCGCCCACTCTCTTTGACACACACACACACACAGGAGAGGAGAGGAGAGCTTGGGCATTCCCTCACATTCCACTTGACAGATCTGCGCGCTGAAGCTGCTGCTCCTGTAGCCTAGTGAGTGCAATAGCTACTGACATTTCTCCTCAGTGCTTGAGGAGGATTCATCACAAGAACACAATGCAGGTGAGGAATCGATCATATCATCTTTATTCTTAACGGATGCCTTTAAAAAATTGAACAATAAGCGCTGTGGCATCAAGGGGGCCACAAGTAAGAATCACAAAACAACGTTTAATACGATACAATGTAATGAATGTAATAAATGTGAAAAATTATATTCCAAATGTGGCTTGTGGCTTCTACACGACCATTCGCTGTGCAAGAGACTGAGTTGATGATAGTTACATAATTTCACTCGAACTGTAGATCGCGCGTCCTAAGAGCGCGAGAGGTCGCGGTGTTAATCATATCGTATAGTTGTTGTGACTTAATGTGCCATATATGATGCGTATTATTACATATAGGCTAATAAATATATCATTACCAGTTCGGACAGTGACAATGACGGACTCTTCACCGCACTTAGAGACCTTTGCAGAATGGATGTTTCTCGCGCGCGCTTCAAACCCGCCAAGTGCCCCTGTAATTTAAACTGATGTAATACTCATGGGTGAAAAACCTCTTAAAAATGAAATTACATGGTCTTTTAGTGAAGTGGAAAAACACGGGGAGTAAGAAGGGATGAAAAGTTGTGCAGAAACAACCGCACGACTAGGTCGAGTGAGGTCGCGTAAATTTAGAGAGCATTGCGCGCGAGCCTCTGGAGATAAGAGGCTTATTCTCAGTTTATTTATTTTCCCATTTTTCTTGTTTTCATCTCCTCTTGGTTTGGAGAATCAGAGCACACCTAATGCTTTGAACGTTTTACGAGACTTAAATCAAATTTGTTCATCTTTCAACTATTGGGGTGATCTGCAGATTTAGCTTGGGAGCAATATCTAATATGATGGGTGGCTGTTGACTTGTTTATGAGTCAGATGTTGAGTTTTGAACCTTGTGGTGTATGATGGCTTCAGGCTGTGAGAATCCTTCTCTCTCACTGCATGAAAGGTTTGCCATTTAAATGGTTCATGAATTAGTTTATGTCAGCTTTGAAATAATTACATGGATTGAATCCTGTCCTCACTTTGACAAACGAGTGGTTGTACTCTGGGGGGCAGTCCGGTTCACTTCCCCAGAGCTATGATCTAACCGTGTTTGATCTGAATGTAAAAACTAGATTTGCTCATTGTTCTCTGCACGATGATAATAAGTGTTATGCTTTCCTGATGTTTTGAAACATCTGTATTGTTTCTGAAGGGTGCATAAATGGCAAAATGTTCATATTAAACCAAGTGTGAGTAATCATGGCCATTTTCTAAATAATAGCATTACTCCTTTATTATGTGTTTCTGACTTGTCTGATTTCGTCAATACTTCACTGACTTGATTTGAGATCAAAATTCAAAAATTAAAATTCTGTCATCATCTACTCATCCCCATGACTTCTTTGAAACACCAAATTAGATGTTTTGAAGAATATCCATGCTGCATTTTTACAGAAACAAATACGCACAAAAAGGGGGAAAAAATAGGTTTGACATCAGCAATGCCAAAATCTATTGGTTCACGACACCAATTATGAATATTTCATTTATTGTGAACTGTTTCTTTAAGAGTTAAACCATATCCAGCTATTGGTTGAATATTTAACTCAGTGTCTTTTGAGAGTAATTCTTTAGATTTTGTTTTTGTCTTTTCTCCATCACGGCTATGTTCTCATAGCAATATCGATAATCAAAACCTCTTTAGTTTGTGTCCATTAAATTTAAACAAAGTGGATGTCAGGGCCGTGCTGCCCTCAGTTATATGGAAACCAAACACCATTCTTCAGCTATTCGCACCAAATCAATTGGTATAGATTAGGTTCTTTCATTAAGGGTAATTCAATGTCCCCTCACACACACACAACTGAACAGTGGCCTGGTCTCAGGGTCCAGGTGAGTGAGAAGCTGAATAATAAATAATTTGGGGTGGTGTGTAATCCATACTACTGCTAAAGTGAAAGGGAAAGGAAATGCCTGGAAAAGGGGAACAGAATAACACAGTGCTGCGGTGAACCAGAGCTGGCGCTACCGACACCGGCAGGGCTCATTTATCCTCTGATGAGCGTGATTGAAAGTGTTCAGTGCGAGGTCAGTGCCTTTCCTTCTGTTTACAAGCAAGCGCATGTGGTCATGAGGTATAGCAGCAGCGAAAAAGATTGCAGTCTGCTATTTGAGAGTCACAAAGTAGGAGGGCAATGTTGTAGTCCTTTGATTAAACTGAAAGAGAACTTTCTTTTGGCCTGCCTCACCCGTAACTGAGTTGGCTGGCTGCAGTGTACTGTTTGGCATCGCTTCTGAGTTTTAATCAGGCTGTGGTTCTGAATTTTAAGTCAGTGTAAGCCTAGAACCTGGAACAGCGAAACACACCGTCCTGAATTAAACAAGAAACATAAATTGGAAGAATGTAGACGGAATACTAAAGGTAGTATCAGCTTGTGCAGTGTAGTCCGGAGAGCCTCGTGAATTAATGCTGATTTATTCAATGTGAAATACTGTAGAGTAACTCAGTAAAGATGCAACACACCGTTAATTTACAGTAATTATGATAATGGGCTTATTGCACAGCCAGAGCATGCATATGGCAAATACATGCAGTATATGCTCAAGTTAATATTACAACTACATTATCAAATACTCCTTCCTTATCCAGATGGTCTGACAGAGATCTATGAGTGAAGCTTTATGAGCCACGTGTCACTAATTATGAAAAATTGCTACTTTGTACTTGGATCAAACAAATCTAATTTCTCACATTTTCAAGTTAAATAAAAATCTCCATAGTCTCTTTTAATGTAGGCCTGCCGGCTATTAGCAGTAGAGGAGAAATGGTGCTTGTTCTCCATTGACTTTAACCTGTCCCCGTAGACTCATTATCAACAGAACTGTGCGCACAGCTAGCCAGAGACAGCAAGCCAAAAGCATTATTAAAACAGGTTTTGTTTTACTGTTATTCAATAAACAGCATTCCTCAAAGATGCACCGTTTGCTTTGCATCAAACATGCATAGAGTTCAAATTGATGTGCATATTTTGTATTCTTCATGTAAAAATGTGTGCTATGACTTATTTGTGATCAAATATGACTGACGAATCTCACACAACACCACTTCCGTGGGACCCGACTTAGAAATATTCCAATGCAAAATAGAAATAATTAAAACTAAAATATATAATAACAAATGAATTGTTATTCATCTATTGCAAAAAAGCAATAAGAACAACTAAAATAAAATAAAATAAAAACGATTTACATGTGCAAGCATAATCGGAGCGTGTGTAAGGCTGGGAAAGCCTTAAGCCCAAAGTAAACTCAAAGTTTTCTCCATTTGATAGATTTGATATATTGTGAAGGCAGGAGGTCGACACATGCGCTCTAGAAAGTCTCATCTTTGTCTGGTGTTTGTGCTATTTTTCTCCAGAAGTTATGACCGATAAAAATGTCTTTGTTTTCTGTATTCTTCCGTGTCTTTAGTTTGCTACTGTGAAACTACGGCCCGGGGCAGTGTTGCCACCTTGAGGAACAGTTGATTAGTGGAAAACAAATTCAATGCGCATGTGTGACCTGGCGCGTACAAAATTCGGGTGACGCACATACAGTACGCTCATAATATTCAAAGTATCCTTTGGGCTTTAGCCATCCCCTGCCTTCTAATTGCTTTTAGAGAGAAAAGATAACCATAATAACTGCTGGTTTAGGATCAGTTTTCTCTGTAATATTAGCATATTGGCGAAACAGATTTGACAAGCGATCCAGTGCGTACTGTATCTCTGTTTGCGCTCTGGAGAGCGTCAAAGGTTTCTATTTACAAAATGTTTTTTGCAGCATTGAGTAATGTAGACAATCCCAAACATATCTGTTGATTTCCTTTAACGCAAAGGCCAATTAGAGGTGTTTAAGTTAGAATCCACTCACCATGGTCTGTCTGAATTCTCAATTCTATAAATAGACTAATGTTTAGCTAAGTATTGGTTTTTAAATAATAATAATCTGAATAATAAAATTACAACACTAAAACAAATAGTGTTAAAACCAACAATTAGTGTTACTACAGGGTCATTTTAAGGTAATCTAAATGTAAAATATAAAACCGACAGAATTAATGAAAAACAGTCCAATATCAACCGATAACCCATTGCTACTGTACATGCGCCACCCGATTTTTGTACGTGCTGGTCATACATGCGCATTGAATAGTCGATCTCTAAAAGACATAAATGAGAAGCTGAAACATGTTGGAGGATTACATGCATGCACGAATGGATGAAATTGCTTAGAGCCATTTGTGCATACAAACAAGGTACACTGCCCAGAACAATTGCTTTCACTGCCCCCCACTGTTCCCTGCAGCAACACACAGTCAGTCACACACTCACACACACACTGTATTAAATAGATGTGCTCCGCTAGCAGACCTGCCACCCTACCCAGACATGCATATGGAGCCGCCATCCACCCACTCACAGTTGAACCAGCTCCATAAAGCACAGAGAAGCATCTCTTTTCCCTCACAGACATACAGCCACAAATAGCATCTCAGGCACCTTAACGCACAGAGGCTACACAACGCCCCGCCTGCTGACTATCAAGGGTTACTGTAGACACGCCAGTCCATTATTACAAGAGCGGAGGAACGTCAAGATGGATCCTCTCTGAAAAGGTCATTACTCCCATTGTGTGGAATCATGGACGAGGCATTTCTCCAGAGGCAGGGGCACGCCGAGGCATCCGAATGTTTGAATTTCCTGAAAGAGGAGTGGAAGCTTTGAAATCAATCCTCTTTTCTAGCCTTTGTTCCCATCTGTGTGCCTCTGAATCTTCACCTTGTGATCAGCAGAGCCTGTTTTCTCTGGTTTCTGTCCAACTTTTCAATCAGTCCCTCATTTAGGGTTGTGAAGCAATGCCAGACATCTCTCAGTCCAATCTATCAGTGATCAGTTAAGATCAGTAAAGTCCACCACCAGGATTTAGAGGCTTTCCATGTCGATTAATTTGGTCTAATCCTGAAGGACAGAGGCAGGGTGAAATAGACTTGCTGTA